GGGGTGATTGTTCGAGTCAGTACCATGAGCCATAATACCCAAGCCTTCATGAGCACCAATGCCGGACTTCCCCCAAGCTATGAGACAATCAAAGAGGAGTATGGGGTGACTGAGCTGGGGGAACCCCACAACTCAGCTGTGGTGAGAACCACCGTGATCAACATGCCCAGAGAGGTCTCTGTGCCTGACCATGTGGTCTGGTCCCTGTTCAATGCACTCTTCTTGAACGTCTGTTGCCTGGGTTTCATTGCCTATGCCTACTCTGTGAAGGTGAGTGTGGTGGAGGGGGCAGAGACTGTGAGGGGGACAGTGTGTGGGAGCCTGAAGCTCCATCTACTCAGATGGCACCAAGGTGTGTGTGTGTGGGGGGGTCCTTTGTGTCAGAGAGTAAGTTTGTGTGTACACTTCCTGTTTGTGTGTCTGTCTGTCTGTCTGTCCATCTGGAGACTTTCCTATAGTTCGATAAGATGAGGCTGCCTGAGGATTCTGGGGCCAAGACTTTCCCCACCCCGTTCCTGGAATGTCCCTTCACCCTGCAGACTGGGGTCTAAGCTGTATGGAAAGTGGGGTGTGCGTCAGTGCTGAGGCCTCCCCTATCGTTTATGTTTGTGTGCGTGAAAAGAGAGGCGGGTCCCCGGCCTAAGGGAGGGAGGCTGCAGTGGGCAGGAGGGACGTGGGGGAATTGAATCAGAGCACCTGGCTCTCAGCTCCAGGGCCTCTTACGTCTGGTTTTCTTCAGTCCAGGGACAGGAAGATGGTGGGTGATATGATTGGAGCTCAGGCCTACGCCTCCACTGCCAAGTGCCTGAATATCAGCTCCCTGATCTTCAGCATCCTAATGTTTATTATCTGCATCATTATTGTCTCCACCTCTGCGGCTGTCTTTCAAGCCTTTTCACAGAGAATGCCGCATTCTGGATTCTAGTCCTGCCCCGCGTGCCACAGTCCACAGCTGCCCATCCCGTGACCCTTCCTTCACCCTACGCGTACGCAAATGTTACCTTCCTGCATCTGTCCACAGTGGAGTCAATAAAGTGCACATGATGACAACTCTGGCTGTGAGCATCTGTTCTCTGGTTCTGTGCTGAGTTTGTCCTGCAGCCTTCCTGTCTGTAGAGAGCAGAGTGTCCTTGACTTAGCAGGCTTCTGGTCTCTTGATCTGGGCAGCCCCGACTAGCACCCTGTGTCGGTTTTTGGCTGTTCCAGACAAAAGGGATCTATCTAAGTATCATCCAACCCTGACACCGGGTCCCAGGGTGCCCAGGAAGGGTACAGAGCCCTGAGCAAGGGAGGCTTCAGGAGAGAAAGACACCCAGATGCCCTTACCTTAAGGGAAAAGAAGCCTCTAGCCAAGATAAACTGTGTCCTTGTTCCCTGGTGGCCTCTTGGATATGACTTCAGACTCCTTAGGCAGACCTGTACACTAGTTAGTTGGTGACTGCTGCGGAGTTTAGTACCCTTCGCTCTTTCCTTGTCCTGCACACGGCATTCAGATAAATACAGGTAGGGATTCAAGAATGCCTCTGGCAGTCTCTAAACAGTAGGGAGGACCGAAAGACAGTGAGTTCTGCAGGGGTCGCAGCGCCTCTATTTCCACTTCACCCGGAGCGGATACTGTCTACCTCGGCGCTCCACTGACATGTTACACGGCATCCCATGAGTTCCTTCTAAAGGGTACCCCCTTTCTGCTTACCCAAGCCTGGTCCCTGGAAATCAGGCTGGGTTTCCAAGGACTGTCACCCTATCCAATAGCTCTTTGCTTCCCCGACCACCACGATGATTTGAATGTATCCCCAAATTCCAGGAATCAGTGAGCTCTAATGGAGAGGTGCTACTGGGAGGGCGCTGTGTGGCTTCAGCAAGGGGAAGGCCTGTTTTCTTTCTTTTTCTCTTTAAACAGGAAGTATAGTTTTTAATAGAAGTAAATAAGAGCAGCTAAGAAGGAGCCAGCTGTGGCCTGCAAGTCCGCGGAGTTCCCTTACTGTTTTAGAGATCTCAGCATGGTTTTGACACAGAAGAGAGTTTCACAAGTCAGTGGGAAGAAGTTGGAGTTTATTCAAAATAGGAAGGTGTCCAGGGTAAAATGTAAAGCTGGCCCAGGTGAGAAGTGTGGACTTCTCAGGTGACACTGCGAAGTGTTTTAATGGTGATTGTTTGTGGGATTTTTGGAAGGTTTTGAAATTTCAGTTGCTTAACAGGATTCGAAGGGTCTCTTTCCGTCTCTAGTCCCCATTTCATAGCTGAGGCTATACAGTGACCCTAAGGTACTTTGGATGGGACCACGCGCTGCCAAGGTAAAACCAGGAGCCCTTAGGATCTCACAGGTTTTCTGGTGAGATTCCTAGAAAATGGTAGGTTTATAGTTGGAAGGGAGAAGCAGACAGTGGCTGTGGTGGTGGCACACTCCTTTAATCCCAGCACTCGGGAGGCAGAGACAGGAGGATCTATGTGAGTTTGAGGCCAGCCTGGTCTGGAAGAGCTAGTTCCAGGATAGGCTTCAAAGCTACAGAGAAACCCTGTCTCAAAAAAATAAATAAATAAGAAAGAAAAATTAAAATACAGTTAAATGGAATTCTTTTTTTTTTTTTTTTTTTTTTTTTTTTTTTTTGGGTTTTTTTTTTTTTTTTTTTTTTTTTTTTTTTTTTTTTGGTTTTTTGAGACAGGGTTTCTCTGTGGCTTGGGAGCCTGTCCTGGAACTAGCTCTGTAGACCAGGCTGGTCTTGAACTCACAGAGATTCGCCTGCCTCTGCCTCCCGAGTGCTGGGATTAAAGGCGTGCACCACCATCGCCCGGCTTATGTTGGAATTCTTGACTCAAAGCTGGTGAGAGTCTTCCAGGGTGAGGGATGCCTTTCCTTCCCATGGCAGAAAGGAACTAAGGAACCATGGGAGTTGGGTGTTGCTTCAACAAGAAAATTTAGAACAGTTGCGAGCCCAGACTGAGGGTTACTGTCCATAGGAAGGAGTCAACTAGAACCGGAGAAGCTCATGGGAAGAGAGCTCACCTGCTCAGTGCATAGCCATTCAGGAAGACAAGTCACACCCAATACCTGGGTCTCCAAAGGGCTGGAAACATTCCTGGGCCCAGGACAGTTCCTCCATCATGAGGGAAAGCCACTGCTCAGGTTCAGGGATTTGGTCCTGAGATCTCAGGTCTGTCCTGTCTATCACCAAGAGGTCACAAGTCAGATATTTGGCTTCTGCAGTGGACCCAGGGTCAAGAGCTTTGCCCTGCCAACCTGTTACTGGCTGACTATACAACCAGCTATAGAAGATGGGCAGAAATCATGGAAGATGGAGCTAGAGGGGGGGGTGGGTCAGTGGGTGGGCAAGGACCAGGACTTCACCAACTGTTTCTAAAGGCACCAGGACCCTTCCATCTCTCAGGGCCAACACTGTTCACATTCCACAAGAGCCAGCCAGAGTTGGCCAGAGCCTAGTGATTTTAGACAGAGTATCTTAAATTAGCCCCAGTGCTCCAGAAACTCTCACTGTGGTCTATCTACTCAGAGCAGGAGGTCAGAAGCCTGAATCCCAAGGATGGGCTCTCCTCCCCTCAGACAGGGATGGTAAGGGTAGGTCCTGCCCCCCTTAGACATTGATGGTGAGGGTGGGCTCTGCAGAACTGGCCTGGGGATAGGAGCAGAGGAATCCCAGCACACTGGATGGATGTGTGAGTGTAGCATCTTTGATAAAGCCTGGGTCTAGGCTTGTATGCAGCATCTGTGGAGCGTATGAGGCTGGGGAGTGAAGAGCTCTCAAAGACAGAGAAAGACCCAGTAAACATGCTCAAAGTTGGGAGAGTGTTTTGTTTCTGGATAGTTTCACCACTGGGATTTTGGATAGTTCCTTTTTTTTGGGGGGGGGGGAGACAGTTTCTTTGTTTAGTCCTAGCTGTCCTGGAACGTGTTCTGTAGAACAGGCTAGCCTCGAACTCATAGAGATCCATCTGCCTCTGCTTCCCAAGTGCTGAGATTAAAGGTGTGCACCACCACTACCTGCTTTGGAAAAAATAATTATGATATATATATATATATTTTTTTTTTTCTCTTAAGATAGCGGCTCTGGCTGGCCTAGGACTGTGTAGACCAGGCTGACCAGGAACTCACAGAGATCTACTCGCTCTGCCTAAGTCCTGAGATTAACATTCCTGGCCTATGACTAAACTTTTGAGGGGGAAGTGGACTGATTATTCACACATGGAGGTGGGGGGTGAAAGGGGGGAGACTCCTGGGATGTCAGGAGTTTTTCTCTAATAGAATCTTCTCTCTCTTTGGTCCTTATGCTAACGAGAGCAGATTTTACAATTCTGGTGCGATGAAGATGTTATTATAATGAAGGAAAGGGTAGGTAGTGATCATCTGGTCAGTTTGTTTTTTTCTGAGTAGTCACATGTCCTGTTGTTTTTGGCAGCCCAGCCACTGCAGTTGGCCTCTTGCTTTCCCTGTACCTTACTAGCTCACAGGAACAACATAGCAGGACTAGAAGGCAGGATCTGTCTTCTGAAGAGATGTCTCTGAGCTTGGTTCCTAGCACCCACACGGGGCAGCTCACCGCTATCTGTAACTCCAGCTCTAGAAGTCTGGTACTCCGCGGGTACCTGCACTCATATCCACATACCCACCCCACATCCATCATTCAAAATCATAACAACGAATATTTAAAAAGAAGTCTCTGAGATTAACAGAACTTGCAGAAACAAGGTAGAAACAGTACTGCCAAAGACAGTGTCTCTTAAGGCAGGGAAGACCAGGGCACTGATGCACAGGTACTTGGGGGTGGAGGAATAGGCCTGGGATTAGTAATATCACTCATCATCTTCCCGGCCCCCGGACTGGAGGAGACCAAATGACGAGGGACCTTGGAGAAAGTCATCTGAGAGTCAGATGCTCTAACTAGGTCCCTGCCAGTCATCTTCCCTGCCCACTGAGGTCTCCCTGCTTCAGGTCAGGGACAACTTCACATACTCAGACTCTCCTGCAGGCCCCAACACTGCTTGCTTGGTGGGTGGCTAGTGATCCTAGTGGCACGGGCAAGAGTAAGCCAGGCTCTTGGCCTGCATACCCGAGGAAGGCTGGGCAGTGGAGGTGTGGAGCAGGGTCTAGCTCTTGCTAAGGGTTTGACCTGGGAAGAACCTAAGGTCCCCTTTACTATTCCACTCAGATTTTAGGATTGGGAAGGGCAGCTCTGACAGGCCCAGGAGCTGGAGGGGATGCCTATCATGGGGAGTGGGGAGGGGCTTCTTACAGTTTGTGGTGGGACAGGCGGTCTCCTTCCTTATTCCTTTCTGCCTGCTATTTTCTTAGCATCCACCTCCAGCAAGTACGCGTTTGCTCTCTCGTTTGTGCTTGTCGGCAGAAGGCCACCTGATCAAGGCCTGGGTTCTGAGTTCTGGAGATGGAGGGCTATGGTATATGCAGCTCTGGTCCTGAGGGGGAGCTCTGGCTCCCCCCTCAAACTGAGGCAGCCTCAGGGTCCACCATGGAACTGTTTGCAGCCAGCGGCCTGGAGCAGCCTTCTGTGGATAGTCAAGACTGCATGCAGGGGGCACTCTGTTGGGTGGTCCACAGCCGCTGCCCATGTGACGCAGTGGCCTTTGATGGGGTCTTTTGAGAGGGGTGGGGGATGCTGGGGTGCAAGGGCGGGCCACACTACTTGGCAGGCCGAGGTTGTAATTTGTGTTATATATAGCGGGTGGGGCTGGCCAGCCAGGGAGGGTAGCGTCAGGCTATAAGCAAGCCTGGTGGTACTCAGAGAGCACAAGCCTCAGCTAGGAAGACACGGCGCTGGAACCCATGGACACTTCCTATCCCCGTGAGGACCCCCGGGCTCTATCCCGCAAGGCTGATGATGCTGCCCACACGGCCCTCTCCGTGGGAACACCGGGCCCTATGCCACGAGACCATCTCCTGTGGTCAGTCTTCAGCACGGTCTACCTGAACCTGTGCTGCCTCGGTTTCCTGGCGCTGGTCCACTCGGTCAAGGTTAGCTTCAAGGCTTGCGGGGAAGGGCTGGGGAGGGAGAATGTGTGAGCGTGGGGCGGGGGTAGGAATTCAAAAGAAAAGTATATGAAGAGGTGTGTTGGTATCGCCACTGTCCCTCACCGAGTTTGGGGACCATGAGAGCTTATCCATCAACGGGTGAATGCACTGTTCACAGGCATGGCTATAAAGTCCCCCGAAAAGGGTAAAGTCCTTAAAGGTTGCCCATAGAGGGATTCCCTCTGTAGCTCCTGTATGGGACGGAGTTCTTGGTTCTCTAGGACTCTTCTCCACAGGAGGCTCCCAAGGACGCTGCTGACCCACAATGGCCACTGATTCTCTATCTGTAGGCTTTAGGCTGGGGCCATCATGACCCAGGACCCTGCCAGGTGCCAAACTGTGCCAAGCTGGGAGACTATAGGCCCAGCCCGGGGGATATTTCCTCAAGCCATGCCCCTCTGGAGTCCAGACTCTGCCCTACAGTTGCCCTGAGCGGTCTCTGGTCTCCTATGAGGGGGGACCAGAACGTGTAACATTTTGGCTCTGCAGGCCCGAGACCAGAAGATTGCTGGGGACCTGGAGGCTGCGAGGCACTACGGCTCCAAAGCTAAATGCTACAACATCCTGGCGGCAATGTGGACACTGGTACCCCCACTGCTGCTCCTCGGGCTGGTGGTGACCGGAGCCTTGCACCTGTCCCGGCTGGCCAAAGACTCTGCGGCTTTCTTCACCACCAAGTTTGATGACGAGGACTATAACTAAGAGTTCAAGGTCACCGAACCCAGGTGCCCAACACCAGCTCCTGGGAGTTAGAGCCTACCACAGTACCTTGGTCTCTGCCCAACCACGACCCTCTTGTCCACCATGTGCATTCGACACTGACCCACTCAGACCCTTAGACTTTACCTCTAACCCAGAGGGTCCTCAGTACCTGTCTTTGCCCCCTTTCCCCACTTACCAGGCTGCATCTCCATTCATGATTAAAGGTGGTAGATTCCAGAAACGTGTGGGTTCCTCCTTCTTGGTGGTAGTTATGTAGGGAGACCCAGCACCAGATCCTCTGGCCAACTCCCAGTCATCTGATTCTGTCCGCTTGGCGGCCCCTGACTACTGCTTTTGCTTGGCTATGGGCAGCCTGTGGGTTCTGGGGTGGAGGAGCCTAAGTATTTTAGGATGAAGTTCGGGAATTCGGGCCTTTGATTCCTACTACCCTGTGGTTTGATGGGCTGTGTCCCAGAACATGTGAGGGTGTGCCCCGAGTCCTCACATGCCACAGCGGTCTTCTTCCGTCCTGGGTCAGTGAAGGCTGAGGGGAAGGTAAGTAGGGTCCATTTTCCTATGTGGGACTGAACACTGGACTCTAGCCTTCTCTTTCGCTCGCCCGTGTCCAGAGGCAGACAGGCAGTGGGCATGGATAACTCTGAGCCTCCAGTGGTGCCAAGTGCATGTTCTCCCGTTATTTTCCCTTTGTGTCGCATCCCTGATGAGGCTGCTGTGAGCCCCTCCACCCCACCCGCTTCTTACTGTGGCCGGCCTATTACAGAGCAAGCTAACTGCATAACACTTAACCAAAAGTAGGCTTGGGGGTTGAGCACTCCACCCAGCCCCCTTCCTCCCCAGGAGCCCCTTCTCCCTGCCAGCTCTTTCTAAGCTGGAGGTTTCTGCTAAGCTATCCTACTCAGAGACCAGAGGCAGCTCCCCACAGTCACACGGCTATAGCCAAAAGCTGGCCCTGAGGAGCTCTAGGCTCTGCCAAGCCAACCCCTAGAGATAGGGCCATATGATGACCTGTGTTTGGGAATGGAGATGAAATTAGTGCTGGGCACTAATCCGACCGTGGACAAGGGACAAGGACACCGTAGCTGTGCTTGGACAAAGATAGAGACAATGTGCTGACCATGGGCCCCTGGTCTAGTTGAGGAAAAGGCCAACTCCTGCTGGCTGCAGGGACTTATCTGTTCCTGGGTAGATGTCCCCAAACACGGGATATTTTGCCAGCCTCCATTTATAATCTGGGAAAGGACTGCCTGGTTTGTGCCCCGGTGCTGAGGACAGAGTGTGTGGTCAAGCCAGTGGGGCATCAGCAACAGCTTCTCCTGCCCCAGGCTACTTAGACCCGATATGCTGTGCCAGCCCACATATTCTGCCACCCTCCAGGCCCCAGAAGCTTACCATAACACATGCACAGAAGTGACCACTTACACTTATGCACACCCAGGTACTGGGCTACATCTATTCTTTGGGGGCAGTGTTACCAACCAACCTGCTGCTGCCCATGCCCAGTCCTGGCTTTGAGGCAACGGATGAACACCCACTTCTGCCGGATAACGCCCTGGCCCACCGTGAAGAAGGCAGAGGAAGACGCAAGGGCCCCACCTTGCTGCTGAACTTTGAAACCACATCCCCAGATGCAAAGGGACAGGAATCCATCACAACCTGACTTCAGGAGCTCATGCCCCCCGCTGACTTTAATTAGCCAAGCTGGTTTGGTAGAGGGGCACAGGTTTTACCAGGATCCTGGCCCTGTTCTATGCACCTCGTTCTGGGAGGAACTCTGATAAAGTATGCCAGGAACTGAGGGCCAGGAGTGAAACCTGGGCAGCTTCTCGGCTCATTTGACTCCAGTTTCTCTGGTTGCCAGCCAGGAACTTCGTGGTCTTGATCTGATGTTCATCTACTGCATCCTCTGGTGACAGCACTGACTTCCTTCTCCCATGGTTAACGGCTTTCACCCTGGCCCACCATGCTCGACACCAACTGACGTCAAGAGGAGTCAGAGAAGAGGAAGCTCAAAGCCACAAACCCTTGAGAACTTGGCCAGTCAGGCGTGGTCCCAACTGCAAACCACAGGAAGCTCTTATTTGGGTAGCTAAGCCCCTGCTTCTAGGACCCACCTGCTGGCCACCTCCTCAGCAGGGTCATTCCCCATCCAGCTCTTTGACCAGAGCCAGTCAGAGACCAGAGGTGAGCAAGGAAGTTAAGGACTAGGGAGACACCAAAATGGGGAGCTGAAGGGTTGGGTGCTGGGGTCGGCCCCAAAGCAAGGAATGTATGAAGCTCTAGGTAGACAGCCCAGTACAGGAGAGGGTAAGGAGAGGAAGGAGGAAGGGGAGGATGCAGAGGGAACGCCCAATAGCCTTAATGGGTTAGGCCTGGATCCAGACTGAGAGACTGTATGGGTGGGCAATGCAGCTGAGGGTCCAGAAGTGTCCCTGAGGTACTAAAACGGGTTCCTTTCAGGAAACACTGAAGAGTTGGAATTTCTGGACCGCTAGGGGGATGACTTTTGTATCCGGCCAGCTGAGTGGGGAAAGCAGACCTTATGTCCTGCAAAAGAGATGGTTAATCCTTTAGGGCATGCACCAAGACTTCTGCACCACAGTCCCAAAGGCTTTTCCTTACCTGGTGGCAGGGGGAGCCGGGTCAGCGATGGCCATAGCTCAACCTCTAGCAAGGGCGCCCAGGGTTCTGCACGGACTGTGACCTCAAGTGTCACCGTGTCCTTGGAAAAGGTGAAGTTGAACTTGTTCCCCAGGTAGGAGATGCCAGAGACAGACACTCTGGAGATCAGGTCTGGACACAGGGGGTCAAAGGTCACACCTGCCTCAGTGATCCTGTGAGGGAGAGCTGTGTGGTGAAGAGGGTTGGGACAAGTGGGAATTGCACCGCTGGTCTCTGCACTCACCTGAATCCTGTGCACCCGAAGAGTGCTGCCTGCAGAAAGCCCCCCATGCCCGTCAAGAAGTTCACTGCGCCAGACCCATCCGCATTCTCTGTCCACACCTGCAGGCAGGCAGCAAGAGCGGCTGTGACATGGGTCCAGCCTCAGCAGGACCCTTATCCCGCTGAGACTCCCACAGAGGGAGAAGAGGGAGGCAGCTGGTGGTGGGCGGAAGCCAGGCTGACCTTAAAGGGCTCAGTGGCATTGATGAAACTCTTGCTCAGGAGGACCTGGGCCCTTGAGGGGTCCCTCAGCTCCATCCAGCCCACGGCAAACATACTCTGAGGTCAGGATCCAGATATGAAGCAGTTAGACTCACCACGTGGGAAGGAAGGAGAGGACAGTAGGGTTAGACTCCTTACCCAGGTCATTGCGGGGCCCTGGGGGGATGTCACAGCCTCATAAATCTCCAGATTTTTCCTTCGGATGTCGGGTTTCAGGGGAAAGGGAACTGGGTATCCCAGGAGCACGACATCTGCCTGTTTCACTTCTTCTCCTGATTTGGGGGGGGGGAGGGGGCAGCAGGATAGGGATGCGTTCTTGGTCAAAGGGATGAGGGTGTTTCTGGGTGTGTGTGGGGTTGGGGGGGGGGTGAGGTGTGTGTGTGTGTGACCAATCAGAAGGGCCCTTGGAGGACTCAGTACCACTCACCTCGCTCATAGCCATCAAACTCAGGGTGGAAGTTCTGCTCAGAGTCAAACGGCACCTTGATCCTATCGGCCACCTCCAGCCACTGGTTGGGAACAGACAGACCCAGGTCCTTGGCCAATGCAGCAGCGAAGCGCAGGCTGGGGAGGGTACAAGCCACAGTTGCACAGCTTCTGACTGGGTCCTGTCTGCTGTGCTGGGCTAGGGAAGGGGATGTCTTCTGTCTGACCTGTTCTGGACCAGGACGTTGGTGTACACAGAGTTGTTGACTCCTGAGTGGTATTCATCGGGCGGCATGACTCCTGGTCACATGGGGCCACCATGACAGTTAGTGTAGGGGCTCAGGACACGCCCTTCCATGGTGGCAGTCCACGCCGAGCTGGCCCCTGTGCTCCCTAGTCCTCACCTTTCAGGTGGTACATCTTCTCCTGGGGGCTCCATTCTACACGGCTGCACCAAAACTCAGCTACCGCACTGACCACATCCCAGCCACCAGCCTCTTGGAAGAGCTGCAGGTCCTGCAGAGGGAGAGCGGGGCAAGGGACCGGGTGTACAAGAGGGCCACTGTGCACGGCTGGTGCCTACCTTCCGAACACCCAGAAAGCAGTGCCTGGCTTCCAAAGTCCCTCTTCGCTCAACTTCCCAGGGTCACGGCGTGGAGTGTGGCCTCAAGAGGTGCGTGGGTGCACGTGGGACACAGTGGTGCCTCACCTGAGTGCAGCGGTAGTACAGCTGGAAGGCCAACACCACGGCTCCATTCACGTGGACCTCCTGGATCCCATAAATGTCCTCAGGGCAGACCTCCAGCCCAGTGCTTGCACTTTCCCAAGCGAACTTGGCTCCCTAGGAGGAAAGAGGATGCAATGGTCAGGTCTTGGCCTGGAGGGCCAGTCCAGTCCTATCAGAGGTGCAATCCTTTGTGGAGGAAAGGAAAGAGGAGGTTTGTGGGTCTGGTGGTCACTGAAAGACACTGGGAAGACCCTGGGGCAGGGACCCTATGGGATAGCACCCAGGCCCTGTTACCTGGTAGCCTAGGTTCTGGGCATTCTTCAGGGCCCCTCCCAGTGTACGGACTCTGTACTCCAGGATGGCCCTAGCGGCCTCTGGGTTGAGCATCAGAATATTTGGGAACATCCAGAGGTCCTGAGAGGAGGAACCATTCTGGGATTAAGCAGAGGTCCATACCGTCCCCCTCCCTTACTGCCCACATTCCACCCCACCAAGGCTTCCAGCCAGCACACAGCAAATAAGACATCTGGGGGCTTCTTTCCCCCACCTACCCTTTGGCAATCCCTCTGCCTCTCTGAGTTTCCTCTCATGCTCACCCAGACCCACCTGGGGCCTCCCTTGCTTGCCCACTCCAGTGTTATTTCTCCAGCTTAGACAGCCCAGAGTTCTGGTTCTCAGCCCAGGCAGTATCAGGAGACGCTAAGGGCTCTAGTTTGTATCAGGGCTCAGGCCTCT